AGCCAGCAGGCAATCTCTCTTCAGAGCCTTTTCTTGCAAGATGTTATAGGTATTTCTGCATACAAGCTATTTCCTCCTCTTTGAAGGTCATGGTGAGGGTGAGCTGCATCATTACACAACTCAGCAAAGGCAGGTGCTACGATTACCTAGTCTAAAAAAATCACTCGAGTGTTTGCTCTTTTGCAGTGAGAGCAAGCATCTGGGATCTTTCCTCTTTCATGGTAATCTCATTTGCAGTGACATGAATGAGTTCAGATCCTGAATTTCCCTCAAAGAGTATCTCTAAGCACCAGCCAGAAGGAATCTGGTGGGGGGAGAGCATTTATACAGAACTCCTTGCTTTACAGTCACCCTCCCCCAAAATCACATTCACTCCTCCTGATAGCAGCAGCTGCGGCTGATGCATTCATCCAGTAGCAGAGAGGACAATTTCAGTCTGAAACTGCATTGTTGCTTGGTAACCACCTGCCAGAGAGTGCAAAAGTGATATGTGTGGTGCCCAGAGCCTGAGGTGTTGCATCCCTCCGACAAGCGGGTGCCATGCAGCTGGCCTGGGGATCAGCAGTGCTCAGTGAGGAGCCCTCTTGCACCTGGTCACAGCAAATGAGAAGCCCGGCTCTTTTTCTGATCTATGTAATTATCAGCCAGTTTTCTGCTCCTGGCTTTGGAGCACTTTGGAACACAGGAGCCATGCTGTTCTGAGTGTATAGGCAAGTATGCGGTCCAATCTTTAGTGCTGTCACAGAAAGACCCAATGGCACAAAACTTTTATTTATCAAAGCATTCTCATTTGGATATATTTGTCATATAACTTGTCATGATGTTCTGGAAGTCTGTCATGTGATATACTTAAAATATATTTGGGGATTTGAACATATTTGGAGCTGGGTCAGATGTGGAGCTTGGCTCCAGATCAGATCTCACTTGCATTAAGTCTCATTACCATGTGAAACTTCAGATAAGTGTTTGTATTCAACCTAAACAATGCTAGAATCCTGCAAGCTGTTCTGATAAGAGCTCAGCTATTTTGGTGGCTACCTGAGCACTTGAGGCTTTACAAAATGAATGTCAGTAATGCTTGCCAAACCTTTACCAACATGCTCATTAGTCTTATTTTTAAAAAATCAGACTTCTCCTGAAACCTAACTGAAAGAAAATCTTTTTCTTAAAGATTTTGGCCACAATTCTGAGTTCATAGCAGGCACTCGGGTGCTTTTCCTTCCTAAGATTTCCCTTTTTCCACCTTTTTCTTGGCGTTGAGTGAGCCAATAAGTAACGAAGGGGAAGAAGATGACCGAAATGGTATAGCCATGAAATAGCATGTATCTGATGCTGTTGAACACTGATAAGTTTGCTATTGTGCACGTTACTGGCTTAAAACTCAGAAGGAAAATCCAAAACAGAATCAGAATGTAGCAGAACATTTGTTTTGGCACATTGAACACTGAGGCATGTATTTAGAACAGCTTGTGAAGGAAGAGTCACGCCTTTGAAAACAAAACGAAGCCTATGTTCACACCTCACGTGTGAAAACTGAGCTTAAAAATAATGTAATAACCTCAGTATGCTAAACAGGCTGCAGCATATAGAGCCACCGAGAACTTTGTTATGCTCTGGCACCTCTAAGCTGCTTAGTACCTCTTCCATTCCACCACCATTTCCCCCTGCATAAGTATTCCTTACTCCTTCTGAGCCTTATTGCAGCTGCTTGGCACCTCTTGCTGTTGCTGTAGGAAGCTGAAGGTGCCTTCTCCCTTTAACTTCACCATTGGTGATCTGGGAACACAGCAAAACCTCAATTCGTTCATGTGCTCTCCCTGTATGCTGTGATCTGTACATGCTTATGGAAAACAGCAGGCTTTACAGAAATACTCTGTGCTGTTTGTGGCAATTACACCATTTTATTTAATAGCATGCTGACTAGCAGGTCCCCTGGATGCCATAGAAATTCATCCCCTGTTCCAGCCTGCTAAGCAAGAAGGGGTCATCTTGCTTTTTCACAGTTAGCCTGCGAGTGCTGCCCCTGTGTAGATGCAGAGAAGAAATGGCTACACATGTTCTCCCCTCACATAGGAGGAGTGCTCTTGCAAAAGACCCTTACTTGCTGAGCAGAGGGAGATCTCCTCTCCTCATGGGAACGTTCATGCATCGATGGTGGCTCTGAAGCTAATTCAGTCATCAGTTTTCTGTGGGCTGCTGTGCTGCATGTGAGAGCAGCTGAGGTACGCAGGCTGTGCTACGAGCATCCAGCCAGGGGCAGCCCTGCAGCAAACAGCTGTGCTGGTTTGCGAGCAAACACGAGCCAAAAGCCTTATTTTGTGGTGCTCGCAAGACCACTGTTCTTGGGAGGAATTAAGAAAAAAAGAGTATAAAACAAACTGTAATGTGGTAACTTTCCCCTTAACACAAGAACTATTCTTGGAGTCCCTGTGTATAGCTCACAGAGGCCCCTTATAAAGCACCCTTATGAGCAATGGTAATGGTCTTATTGGCATGGCAATGTCCTCACTTTCTCTTGCTCTCTTGTTGTGACTTTTCTAGTTGCATTGATGCTTTCTTTTAGTGCTCCTTCATTATACAGTCAACTACCTTGCTCACCTAGGAAATGAAGGTTGATTGGCCCTCTACAATTACAGATTTGTACCACGGGCACTCCAGATCGACAAGATTAGCTAACAACTATTGCAAAAATGGTAATGACTAAGCTAGAGACACGTTGAAATTGTCACCTAAAGCTAAAAGCTGTGATGAGCATGCTGCTTAGGTAACTATGGGGTATGAAGTTACTCAGTCATCTCTGGAAGTTATTTACTGAAGCAGAATTAATCCGTGATAAATGGCAATGTTTCCAAAATCACAAGAGTTAAGTGCTTTCATTTTAAGGTTTCTAACCTACAGCTAACATTTTCCCAGATGAAATTTATGTTTGAAAAATTGATACAAGTGACCTTCTGTCCTCCTTTGTCCTGATATTCCATTTCACTTTGTTAGCAATTACTACTACAGAGAAGACATCTTTAGCTCAGACAGATTTTCAACCCATTTAACAGTTCATTCTGGGATGATGGAAAAACAATTGAAGCTAAACGGTTCATCTGAGCACAGAACTACCATTCATTATGGCAAAAAAATGTAGAAACACGTTCCTTTTCAGGCCATCGTTTCAGGAATGAAATAGCACAAGAAGCAGTATATTGATTCCTAATTCTGTCCACTGTGATGGAGTGGCACAAGTCAGTGGCATGGCCTAGGGCAGTGGCTAGTTTTGTGCTGGAGAGTTCCCCTTCTGAGAGGACTTATGTTCAGCAACAACTGCTCAGCTCTACAGCCCGTGGCATTAGTTGGTTAGTTGTGGAATGGTAACTTGGGAAGGATGAACGATGCCTTAGGAAAAAAATATTGGTGTAAAAAAAAATATATATATATATATATTTTTTTTTTCTTTTTAAAAAGAGCTCAAAGAAAGCTAATAAATAAATAAGCCTTTATGTTCATTTTATGTCTTCAAATGGTTTCAGGCAAGCGCGTGTTCCTTGTCAGGGCAAGCCAGAGGAAATGTAGTTTTGGTCTCTGAATGGAAATGAGTTTAGAGAGGAAACAAACTCTGTCTCTTAAGTGAGAGTGCAAAAGAAAACTGTAAATATCCGAAAGCCTGGCTTCCTTGAGAGTCCTTACCAGAGGGAAAGGGGGAGTCTTGCTGTAAGGGTGAGATGTGGTCTGTGCTTGTACAGACAGGGAAATAAGAAAATAGCTTCAAGAGGTGAGAAATGCCAAAGAAATAAAATGGGTATGGTAAAAAAAAAAAAAAAAAAAAAAGGTGTTTAAGAGGTTTATTTTCCCTGAATGCATTCCTCCAAATCCTATTTAATATTAATGGCACTTAAATGGGAAAGAAAGCTCATGGGGAAAGAACAGTGACCCTTATGTGCTTAAATAGGATCCAACTATTTGAAGCAGCACAAGAGGTAGCTAAAACAAGTAGCTTAAATTGTAAAGAAATGTGGAGTGCAGATGCACTGTGGGAGCCACTGGGAAAATAAAATAAGACCAATAAAACAGAGGAAATAAAGAGATAATTGATGTAAGGGCTATATCCTAAATCCTGGTAGCTTCCTTGCCACTAGTAGATCTCCTTGACTTGTACTAGAGGCATAGTCTATAATATGCAGCTGCTGCTCACTCTGGCCTGCAGATAACTGCAAAGATCTCTAGGATTTTGGCAGTGCATCACTATTAAGAACTTTCCTTCTCCTTTTTGCTATGCCATGTATTAAATACCGTGTAAGACATCTGTGTTTCTCTTTTTATATAGCCAGGAAGAAAATGGCTCAAGAGGTAGCACCATAAGTATCTGTATTGAAGTACCGGTTTGCTGGTGGTATTGAGGAAGAATTGAGGGCGCAGCCCTTCAAAGTTCCCAGCCTTGGAGCCTGCAGCAGAGTGACCTCAGCAAGAGGCTGCACAGACCCTCAGGCTCTCGTGGCAATGCAGGAAGCCTTACATCATGGCTGTAGTGCAGAAGTTTTACAGCTGATTTATGGGATTGGTTTCAGAACTCCTCACTCTGTTAGAAGTATATGGAACCTTTCCTATAAACACAGATTGAGGGGGAGGCTTTGGAGTACTTTTTACACATTGTAATCATATACAGGCATGCTATCACTTGTAAAAAAAAAAAAAAAAAAAAAAAAAAAAAAATGCTATATCTCCTCTCTCTCTACATACATATATGCATATCCCCCATTTTATTTTAAGCATATGGGCTGGGTATTCCTGTGGGTAAACCACCTAAAAATTAGTTCCAGACAGACATGTTAATGGAGATTCAAGTAACTAAAATGTATAGTACAACTGATGAAACCTTGGCAGAAAAATATTCTAGTGCTGCCAGAAAAAGAAGTAGATTTGCAACTTACAGCCAAGTCTGATTATCCTTTTGGTGACCAGGACTACAAGTTCACTTTGGTCTTGGTAATTTTTATATATTTCTTCTCTTCTAGAGTCTAACGTGTGGTCAGCTGCAGTCCTGACAGCTGGCTGTGGTGGGGAGGTACTGCTCAGTTTGGCTGGGGGTCAGCCTGGCTTCACTCCTGGATGTGGCATGGCACAGGAACCTGCCTTGTGCAAGGGAGACCCCCAGGCCATATGCCCGTCTGGGACATGGTTTCTTAGGTGCATCTTGTCCTATGTGGCAGAAATCTGGCAGCCATTTCCCTTAAGGACTGCAAGACACGTGCTGTGAGTTACAGATGCCTATTCACTGGCTTCCTGAGAAGAGCATCACTGCTGCTGAGTTTTATATTCATCACAAAGCTCATTGGAAAAGGTATCTTCACTTCCTTTCAAATCCGTTTTGCAAAGCATCTGCTGTGTTTCATGCGGATGATTTCTGTGGAAAGGAGCGATTCCTATGCAGGATTTAGACACGCCAGCAGCAGAGCGAGCACTGAGGGGTAGGCTTAATCCTCAGCTGTGCTCCAGCTGATATCAAAGAGCTTTTATATTTAATAAGTCTTAAACACTTACAATCACAGAAGACAGAGACAGACAGGAAAATACAGTTGAACTAAACTGTCTCTAGGGCAAGATAGAACAGAAAAAAACAGAGCACAGAATTTCTTAAATGAGTGCAAATCCATACTCAACAATAATGAAAAATTAAGCACACATCACCCTGCTGTTCAAGAAGGATATCTTATCTAAATATAATGTCAGGCGAAAAGCACTGAAAATCTGACTTTGGATATGTGTGTGTCACAAAGCAGGTATACAGAGTAGACTTTTCCCCAGACCATTTTTTTCTTCAGTTTCATCAAGGAGAGAGAACTCCAGGCATATCAGCCTCCTCTCCAGAGAGCCTGCACCCACCTGGCCTTCCACATCAAGTAGAAAATACTTCAGCTACAGTGATCAAAAACATTCCCTTTCCTGCCCTACTGGGGGAATGCTGCTCCCGAAGCTTGCTGGGATCTGCTGCTGTCCCTGCAGCACAAGGGCTGATGTAATTTTAGATTCTAGCTGCTCTGAATCAGAAACAGTCAGGAGGACAATGTTTTGGAGGCTTTAACCAAACCAGAGCAAAAATCGCAGCTGGAAAACATTCTTTTTTATGTGCACTGCACACTTTCTTGCTCACTTTCTTACACGGAGATCTACTGAGCCCGGATAAGATGGTTTCATCCTGCCAGGTAGCTGGCAAAACAGTTATTTGAGAGTTCCCATAACTCCTCCCAGTCCTTCAGTATATAAATACCAAGTGGTTTGTGTCACACTGATAGATCTTTCCTGCCCGTTTGCTTTCTTATCCATAGAGCTATTACAACAAATGCCTGTCCCCCTCATCTCTCAGTTCCACTTCTCTTCCACTAAGAAGGAGCTTTTAGGAGCATTGCCCTCAATTACAAGTCTGTAATAGATTCATCTTTCTCTTATTTCCCTTCAAGCAGTGCTGCTTTCTGCAGAGTTAGCACAAGGTCACCCTTGTGTCCTGGCTTCCCCCTTTATCAGCTCCCACCATTACTGCCATTTGCTGCAGATCCTATACGACCAGTTGCCAATGCATTCCTGCTTTCCTATAAAGGCAGCACCTCTGTCAACTGCCTGAGAGAATGAGAGCTAGCATTTAACTCGTGTGTGCATTTCAGCTGACTGGTTTTGACAGCGTAGTCTTGGAAAGAGAAAGGAACAGAAAGGCATGTTTTGACTTCTATGCACACATCTATAACGCAACACTGCAAGTCGCAGGGAACATGTGGAGGGCTCTGAGTGAGAAGGTTGTGGAGCAGGACTCTGGAAAATGTAAGCCCCAGAGAGGAGATCCAGGGCTAAGGGGCAAGATTGATATGGAGGATGGGAAGTTTACAGGCTACTTCCTGGCCCCTTTCTCCCTTAATGCTGCACTCAATGAGTTTGGCCCTTGCAGCCAGCATCATCATCCACCACTGAGTTTTTCTTACAGGCGTAGTAAATGGCAAAGACAAAACAGCTCGACTTTACCTTTGAGATAAAAGTAATAGAAATAGTTTGAAGAGTGTGACAGCTATGAGAAGTCTGTGACAGTAATTTGAGGAATCTGTGCCCTGAAAGATGCAGTGAGGTCTCTGGCAGCTGAAAGCCTGACTGGGTTGAGATGATGCAGACATAAGGCTGGGGCTTGTAATCCCGAGCAGCCGGGCTACTTTAGTGTGCTCATTCCCATGAATACTTGTGAAATCTTTAGGAGATCTCTGGATTCTTTTGCTGATAGAGCCTCCTGGATGGCCTACTTTTTCTTTCTACTAGTGGAAAGGAAAAATGCCCTAAATTTCATGATCAGGTTTCGGACACTCTTTTTGACTTTCAACATTATGGTTCCCAGAGGCTGTGCTCAGTGAGATGTTTGTTCCATAATTTTCATGATAATGACTTAATTCTTTCCAGATGTCATGACTGCTTTACCCTGTTCTCATTCCCTAAGAATTTCACATGCAAGAGGTGACAGTAATGATTTTTGGAATCGGCCTTGACTGTTGGACATCCCATGCCTTATAAAACACCCTTTAAGAGTTTTTGTAATTATTTCTAGTGTGCAGCCTTGAAGGAACAGGGCTGTTTGCCTCCTTCCCTTTTGTAGAGAGAGAAGGAGAAATCTAGAGCCAGGAGCTTCAGGCCCATTTCAGAGAGAGGGTGAGGGGCTGATCTGACAGCTGGCAGCTCAGTGGGAATAAAATAGATAAAAGGTCTTAGAAAACCAAGATGTCTACTCAAAACAGCTAAGAACAAAGTAAAATGCATCGGGCAAACTTCCCTCCCAACTCTTGTTGACTCTGTTGCATAGCTTTGTCGTATGCGTACCAGGACAATTTACAATTTATCTTGGCCTGACCCAGAGAAATTGAGCAGTCATTTTCCAGATGCAGATAAGCCTTTAAGAGCACTGATTTTTTTTTTTTTTTTTTTATTATTTATTTTAAATTTTCTTTCCTACTGACCTGTGATGTAGTTGAGCATTTTTAGAGGGAGATAAAGACACTGCTATATATGTCTGATTTCAGCATGATCAGGAAGGAAAGATTTTTCTTTGGAAAACTTATGTGAACAAGCCACAGTTTAAAAACAAACAAACAAACAAACAAAAACTGTTTTGGGACTTCAAAAGCAGCTTAAAATCTTTGTTTCTGAATGTCAGAGCATTTGACATTGTATTCAAATAACTGGACAAGGGACTAACATTGATAAAAGTATGGGAGATTAGTGCGGAAAAAGAACATGAAGGACTAAAACAGGGATTTCTGCTGAACCTGAATCGATCTGTTCAAAATTTTGTAATGATTGGACTTTCAACCATTACTTGGAAAGGACAAATCTTCAGAACCCACCACTGCTGTTTTCAGAGCTGGAAACAAACAGAGATCTCGGGAGGACTGTGGGATCACTATTAGCATCAAGGGAGCCAAAGATAACTGAGGGTATCAGGCATCCCAATTAGGATTTTCAGTTGTGCGACATCTGCGTTAGTGAGATGCTATAAAGCTATGATTGCTAATGCCCTCTGTTCTTCATTTCTATATCTTTGGTAATTTTTGCCTTTGTTTTTGGGCATGAAAATATCCTGAAAGTTACCAATGCCATTTCTCAGTTGGTTTCCACTGTGCTCCCTCAGGAGTCTACTCTTCATAGTAATTGTTTCACTAGGAAATAAAGTTGCTTCTTAAATGTAACAGTATCTGCATACAGAAGTTATTTAGTAATGACCTCACATGAAAAAGATGGGAAGAAAGCAACCAGAGATGGTGATTAACAACTAACAAGAAAATGTCCCTGCCTATTCTTGGCTTTTTATGTTGGATTCTATATTTTGACCCTTGTCTTGGCATTTATGTGTCTTCCAAATACTCCAACACGTGTGCAGAACTGCTTTTAGGACTCACGCTGTTGATTTGGATCAGACTGTGTGTGTGAGTAAAGCTATGTGTTAGTACAGGACTTTGCAGGCTCAGAATCTTCGTCGCAACCCCATCCCCACAGTCCTTCACAAAGACCCATCAGTTCCAGTGGCCTTTGTTTACAGACAAATAAACAAGCCGAGAAGCCAAAGGATGTGAATTGGCCTGGAGTCCGAGAAAGGGAGCCTTTTTTCTGTCCAAGATACTCAAGTCTGGTCCCCTTCTGATTATGGTTCTCCTGTCAGCAAAAGTCCTGCCAGAACGTCCCAAGCGCCGGCTGCATTTTAGAGCAAACATTTGAGGCTCTGAAACATGCAAGGTAGTCAGTTTATTTGTTATGAAGTGTTTTGTAATCAGTTTACATACACACACACACAAAAATGCTCGTGAATTTTAGTAAAAAATGATACACTGTGTCTGAACTTTGTCTCGAATCAGTCAGTTTGTAGGTCTAGGATTGCTGCTGGCTTCATCATGTTGAGAAAAAGGAAATCCTGTGAAATATATTAAAATCCAGATGCAAGGTTTTTTTTGTTTTATTTTATTATTTTTTTATCAGGGTTGCCAAAATACCAGTAAGGTTATGGAACTAATAAACTAAATCTTATGCTCATGTGACTCAATTGCCTCTAGTCTGAAGATAAGTCTGACTTACAGACTCAAATATATGAAGTGCCTGTACAGTAGATGTGAAATGAGTATATCTAAGCATTAAATCATAAGCAAGTGTTATCCATCTGCTAAGTATATTAATGTACTGTATCATGTATACTATACTTCAGTGTGCTTATATTAAATTTAAAGTGACAGAAGGCAATCTATTTGGGTATTTGAAAATGAAAGGCTTTTCCATCTTTTTTCTTTTTTTCCAAAACAAGAAAGTAAGTTGTTTTCTGCTTTTCTGGTGATTCTTGGCAGATAGGATGAGCAGGTCGGTGAGAAACACTGTACTGTCAAAAACTCTGGGGAGCTGAAAAGAAAGTCACAGAACTACCAAATTCTGCTTGTGCACAAAAGTGGAGAGAAATCCCATTTAGAGCGTGAGAGGCACCGAGGGTGAACTGAGCAGGCATGAGAGGAACGGAGAAAGCAGCCGACTGAAGATACAGATCAAGTCCATGTGTAATGAATAATGTATAGACTCAATTTGGAAGCAGGAACATTCAGAACAGTAGGCTTTAGCTGGGTCTCGGAGCGTGTGTGACCACTGATAACCTGTTATCCTCCTGTGTGTCACCTCAGCTCCAGTACCGAGTCCCAGATCTCGCTTTCTACTTGCGTTTACCCTGTACCTTCTGCCATTCCTGACTGCTTATACAGAATATTTTATCAGCTGAATACAACCTGTCACTTCAGCAGACGTGTGCTTACTTTTTCTGGGCTCTCTTTTTGTCTAGTTCCAATGGCAAGTTGATGTTGTATCTGGTAAAGAAATCCAGTTATGCATTGTGGATTGGTCATCCAGAATGCGCCCTGCTGTAGACATAAAAATATGGAAAGAACTCCAGACACTAGCCTGTCTGGTGGAAAATCATTATCTGCAAACACCATCCACATTTTCAAACACAGTCCAATGCAACGCAAACAGTTGCAGCTTTGTTGGTGCTTCTGCCCTGGCCGTGCGTGGATGTGCTGGGACGCAGCATTTGCAGACTGGGATCTTCAAAGCAAGAGCCCTCCTCTCCCAGTGGGAAGAACAGCTGTCTCAGGTCTGCACCTCGCAGGCCCTACTTCTCCCTTTTTCTGCTACTGTTTGAGTGGGGCTGCTGTGGAGCTGCAATTTCTGATGCTCCACCTGCACTGTTACTGGGCAGCTCCATGAGTCTGGGGCACCACTCTGTTTTCAAGCGCCTTTACTCCAGCTACCAGATGCAAACCAGGCATATTAGGCATTTTAAGTGTTCTGTAGCCTGGACTTTCGTGGTTTATCACCTAAACTGTGATCGGCAATGTCTGAGATGCATAACGCCTGCCCACAAGCAGTTAAATTGAACAGCCAAACTCTTGGAGTAGGAGTTTGACTCCTTATACGCAGTTATTAACTGTGATTCAAAAACAATAAATCTTCACAGATAAAAGGCATAAAAAAGTGTTTTGTTTTGTTTCGTTTTTTAGGGGGAAAAAAATGAAGAAAACTGATTCTTTCATTACCCAGATAGCATTCTCAAATCTGTTTTCAATCGTAGCTGTGTTTCTAAATAGATGCCTTCTTGACTGGCATCATCATGGCTGGAAAATAAGGATCAGCCTCACTGGCACTGAACCTGCACATGTCCTGGATTCACTCTGCCTCTCCCTTGGGAGAAGGCAGCGAGAACAGCAAGGCTGGGATTTAATGTGTTTTTTTATTGTGTTTAGATGGGTAAGCGCACTGCAAAGCTGCTGGTTGTCCACTTGATGGTATCAAGTAACTGAGCTCAGGAGGGTACAGCAGCTGTTCAGACAGAAGTGAATTCTGCAGCAGGTAAAGCAGCTGAGCTGTGCCCTTCACCTGCAGCAGCAGCTCCTGCACTAAGTTCAATCACTCTGCTGCTGGTTCTATGTGCTGCTCTGATCCCAAATTCTGGGTTAGCCTTGTCCCTTCCCAGGTGTTACATCAGCCAGATGTAAAATGCAATGCTGCCTCTGCAAAACAAAGCACAAGCACAGTTCCCTGGATTCTTCTGAGTTGATTTTGGGTTGACTTTGATCATAGCATAGCAGACACAAACAAGAGTTTTCCCAGGTAGAAAAACGAAAGTTTTGCAACAAGATTCTTCAGAATGAGAAACACCTGCCATGAGATTTGCTACCCACTAAGAAAAGAGCTTGTGTCACATCCTGAAGAAACACTGGGATCTGGATCATTGTGTGATCTTTACAATGATGGGCACTGTGCAAACTGAATGCAGCCAGGGATTTTTCCATCTCAGGCCATTTAGTTGCTGATGTGAAACACGCTTTGTTGAAAGCAACCTGGTGGCAAATGCTGAGACCAGGAGCTGCCTGGGCAGTGACCACACTGAGCAAAATACTGAGGCAGGTCTCTGCACTGTCACGCCACTGTATGACAGCTTTAGAACCGCTGCATGAAGCAGAGGGCGATGGCATCTCAAGGGCTGGCAGCAGGCAGCAGGCAGCAGGCTGGGTGTGCAGCAGGGGGCCCAGCGCCTTGCTGGCGCCAATGGCCTCCACATTACAGGATGGCAGGCAATGCACATAGCACACAGCCGACCCGTGTTGTGCACCAAATAAGAGCATGCTTGTGTGCTTGTTTGGGATTTTTTGTCCCACATACCGCTTCTCCCTCTGGTTGCCAGCAGATAGGCTGCGAGCAATCCCTGCTTTACAGTGGTAGAGTGGTTGTTATCCATGAGTCCCGAAGGCACGGCACGTGCAGCTCGCTGGAGTTTGTCTGCACATTGCCTGTCACAACCATTAACTGTTTGCCATGAGGGATGGTCACCCAAGGCTGGCGGTCATGGCTTCTGCTCCCCGACAGCAGCCTGTGAAGCATTTCTCTCTCTTTTTTTTTTAGCATGGAGAAAGACAAATTATGAAGTATAACGGTAGTGATGAACTTGCAATGCGCTTTACCCAAAGGCTCCGTGACTGCTCAGAACCCCGGCTGAGCTTTTTGCGTTCGTGCTTTCACAGCAGTTGCAGTCACTGTGTGTGAGCGCTTGGAAAACAATAGGTAATAAAAGTGCACAAACAGAACTCCACGAGGAATTGCAGTTTGTGTTGCAAACCAGCACGCTCGGCGCTGTCTAGGAGACACCGTGTCCGGCTTTACCCCGGGACTCTTTCCACCTTTCGAGCAGTTCTTAGAGCCGAGCGCTCCCTCGGGCTCCGCCGCTGCCTCGAGCAGGGAGAAACAGCTGTAGGAGGGGGCAAAGCCGGCGGCAGCAGCTCGTGCCGAGCCCCCGCCCAGGTGAACGCCGTGCAAACGAGGGCGGGGCGGCGGCTGACAGCGGGGCCGAGCTCGGGGCTTCCCCGCCCGGCTCGGCTGTGGGAGCCGGCAGGCAGGTGGAGGGGGAGCAACAAGTCCGGCGAGGAGGGAGGGAGGGAGGGTGAGGAGTGGAGCTTCCCTCCCGCCCCACAGCTCTGACAAGTGGTGGAGCGCTCGCACAGCGCGCGTCTCCGGGCGGGCGGCAGCCGCGGGGCTCGACCCGCACCGCTTTACGCCGCCGAAGTGCGGGGACGGCCGCGGGCTCCGCCTCCGTTTGTTTATTTAGTCCTCGTCACCCGCCTTTTGGTCGCTCGTTTCGGTCTAGTTCCTCGCTATTATTTTTGTTTGTAAATTAGTCGCCTCCATGGGGGGCGGAGGAAAGGAAATAAAAGCTGCCGCAGCCGAAGGGTGCAAAAGCATGCTGGGCAAGAGCCGCGGAGCCGCAGGACGGGATGGCTGCGGCGGGGAGCGCTGCCCGCGCCGGGCCGGGCCATGCTGCTCGGCGCTGCCCGTTCTGCTGTCTGCGCTGGCGGCCGCCTCCTGCGTGTACCTGGGGGTACGGACCAGCGACCTCCAGGCCCGGCTGGCGGCCATCGAGGGCGCCCGGGGGGGCTCCGCCGCCGCCGCTCCGCTCCCGCCTCTGCCCGGCTTTTCTCTGGAACGGCTCAACGAGATGATGCAGGAGAAAGTGGAGCGGCTGCTCGCCCAGGTGTGCGGGATGGGGGGCCGCTCCGGCCGCGTGCGGGAGGGGAGAGGGGGAGACCGAGGGGCGCGTGGGGCAGCGCGAGGCGGCCATCGGGGCGCGGGAACGAAGGGCATCGCACGGAGAGCGCAGAGGGTTTTCTCCACGCGTCTCCGCGTTTCTGGCCGGTGCCGAGGAGCGGGCTTGAGATCGAAAATAAATGAAGTTCCAGAGCGTGTGGAGGGGTAAAGGTGAGAGAGAGCCGTTGGCGGTGGGCTCTTTTCGATGGGGGTGGAGAAGTCAGCCCTTCAGGCTGGGTCACGTCCAAGAGGAGAAGCCGTCGCCAGTTCCGCGCTCGGTGAGACAGCTGTAAAGCGGGGCACGCTGGGCTCTGCCGCCGGGTTGTGGCAGGCCGAGCGCCCTCACGTTGCTCCTCTCCCCCACAGAAGTCCTACGAGCACTTGGCAAAAATCCGAGCGGCGAGAGAAGCGCCCGCAGAGTGCAGCTGCCCGCCAGGTAATGCGGCTCGGCGTCCCTCCTCCCGGAGCTGTGCGTTCTGGGGTTAATTCTGCGTTCCGTGTGCGTCAAACGGGCATCAATTAGAGCAAGCTTCTTCAGTAAGCATCAATTGGGTGGCAAAGGTGTAGAGCCCGGAGTTGTATCGCGTTTCCCTTGCGGTGTTGGCTTGGAATACACGCTGGTTAAAAGACCACTGTTAGGCTGGCAGATGCCAAATGATGACACTTGTGAACTTAATGGTCTATGGTAGCAAGGAGAAATACGTTCCATCTTAAGTGGAGTGGTACTGAATCAAGGCATTCTGTGCTCAGTTTCAGGAAGCAGAACAAAAAATTCCTAGTGAAAATTTATAGCATGGATTAAAATAAGTGAGGAATCCGTTGCAAGTCAGCAGCATATACACACAAGAGCTTTTCAGTATTGCCTTGTTTTTCTGTAGTGGGGGATGGAAGTGGTTCCCCTAGGAAGGAATTGCAAGATTGGTAGTGAGGATTCAGAATGGTGTTTCTTTATGCGACTGCTGCTGTTGCTCAGACTTGGAAACGGGGCCTCCTAACACTGGGATTGGTTGTCTGTGTGCACACAGAGCAGTGCTGTCTGGTTTTGGTGCTGCTTTTTGACTGCCTGAAAACTGTTGCTCTTGTCCTTGCTTTATAAACATCTGCTGATATGCATCCCAGTGCTATCTTAAAAGTTAGGAGAGTAAAGCTGATGTATCACAGGGTGATAGCTGTAAGAACACTGGCACTGCAGTGAAACACCATAGGCACAGTATGTGCCCATGCATACATGTTCTACCACCCTGAGTGAGGAAAAAAACCATGTCCTTTACGGGTGGAATATTGATGCTTAGCAAGAATTAAGCTGAGGATAATGTTTGCCATTAGAGTGTGTGATGGCACTGTGCACATATGAGTAAGGTGCTCTTTTAGTTAAGGGTTCTATTTCTGCCAAACTTATTTGTCTGGCAGAGCTGCTGAATTACAGTGTTAAAACTGACTGCCATGCTGTTACAGCATCTTGCTGATGTTGCAACTGGGAGCAGAGTATTTTTCATCACTGGTGTAGGAGCTACCATGTCTAGCACAAAAAGAATAATATGTATGACTGTTATAAAAGAGTGCGTAGAATTACTCCACTCTCAGCTAGTTTTGATAAAAGGCATTGATTTACTGTTGCACTGCGTACATTTTCTTTCAAGTACGGTGTTGATTTTATTTTTCTGTTGTTTAACTGCAGTCATCATTACAAGGTTGAAGCTTACGTGTTGAAAATGGAATTGCTCATCATGCTGTATACACAGATGTATTCTATGAGCTTGAAATGCTGCTGAATTTGATTCCAAACATTCTCGCTCTTTGTTCTCCTCGTTTGAATTCATTTGTTATGTTCTCACTTACTGCTTTCAGACCTAAGGTCAGTACCTCCTGTTTCACAGTTGTTATGCAGTGCGTTACTAGCCCGCTACCACTAGAGCTCCACATCATACCAATTTTTACCTGACCTTTCTTCTAAAGACGTTTCATCAAATAGATTGTCAGCAGCAGAATAATCCTCACGTGCGCTGTAAAAATACTCACTTAAGTAAAAGTCGAAATAAAGTTATCTGAGAAACGTTATCAAGGGGTAAGATTTATAAGACAAGGGAAGTGTTTGTATAGGTAGTTGTGGGCATTTGTGTGTGTGTGCGTGTGTGTGTGTGTGTGTGTGTGAAGATTAATTCTTATGGGGGATTAGAGATGTGATACTGGGTTTCTCACCTCTGGGTCACTGTTTCAGTTTGAAAGAAAGTTTTGCAGTGATTCGGAGATATTGCCTTGTGATAGCTTTATTTTTGAGCATCTTAAAATGAGTTGATGTTCTCATGCTTGTTACCAGTGGATAGGTGTCTACATCAAAATGGCAATATCCTGGGAGCCTTATCAGGGAGAACAAGGGCTGAATGGCACCACTGCCTGATATTGTGCCTTCCTGACTGCAGGCATTAGGGAGAGCGGGAAGGGACAGAAAATAAATCATTGTTCCTTTATTGGATTCAGTTTGTGGAATTGCTTCTAGACTGGATGTGATGAGCTTTTTGTTTTCTTCCTTAATGCTTCAGCTACAAATTTGGACTAGTGTGCTTTGAAATGCATTTAGTTTCATAGGAAAAGAATCACAGAAAGTCTCTTGTTTGTTTTGTTGTCATTGTTGTCTGCTATCTGTGAAGCCAAAGAATAAATTACCTCTTTACTACATAATTCCATTTTTAATGCTTTATTCTGAACAGGTTCTGCGTTTCTTACCTGGGTTTATTTAGTAATACAATGCATGTCTGTTTGAGGTGGCTTTGGAAAGCCTTTGTTGGTATGCAGGTAGTTTTTGAGAATAAGGCAGCTGCCAGATGGCCACCAAGGAAGTTTCCACCATTCTGCTCTTTAAAGAGAAATAAAGATTATTCGGAAAAAAGATTACTTTGTCTTATACCAGAGGAAGAAAGGGAAATCCAATCTGCAGGCAAGAGGGTGATAGTGTAGTCTCTGATTTAAGATTAAAGTTATGCAATCGATGTAGATCTCATTAGCTTGAGATGTCCATCCGCTTGTGGCTCTCCGTGGTAGGAAATGCATGTTCAAAGGAAACTGGGTTGGAATGGCTTGAATGCTGGAGAGGCAGCCAGATTCACAAGTGCTCATAGCTTGCAAAGCTGTCCATGTGTAGCTCCTTGTAATGCGACAACAGCCTTGAACTTCCTCTAGAATGAGAAACTGTTAGGCTTCCCAGTTTTTTAAAAATGTTTTCACTAAATGTGTTTTCTACTAGTTAGTATTCTCCTAAAAGACACATAGTGTGCAGAGATGCTGAGAGTTTTGATTTTAATTTTGTAGGACTAAAACCAGATACCAAAGATTTTGTAAATATTTTTGTATGACAATAGCAGGCATTCTTTCTCTTATAGCAGAGTAATAAAGTTTGAAATGTAAATGCATACTGACATTCCTCTTAAATTACCTCAACTCTAACAGGAGTGCAACAGTCACTGCTGGCAGTTAGTCCTCTGCACAGGGGACTGGGGGAAGATTGAGTGGCTAAGTTTATTTTTGACTTCATATTTTGATTTTCCTGGGTTTCCCAGACTTTTTATTTTAAATGAATGTTTCCAAACCATAAGATATGAACAAAAACATAGGTGTGTAGGTAATTACTTCATATGCCTGAATCTTTCTTTAAAGATTCAGTACCATAATCTGCAGTACCATAGTCAGCTTTTTTTTAGGCACAGCCAGGTACAGTGCTGGATACCAAGTCAAGAATTATACTGCTATGGAAGGAGAAACAATTTAGGAAGGCACAAAGATATTCCTGATTGAGTAGAGTTGTAAGAAATTCGAATAGTAGATTTAGACCCGCTTATTCCAAAAAATGTAAAAGTGTATTTGTGGTATTCATAGACTTCAACACAAACTAAGCACATGCTTTCATGTTCTTAGTGAATTGAGCCTTTCTGTCTTGTAAGGGTCAAGCCCTGACACTTGCAATCAAGTGCTGTGAGGTCTCATTCTCTAAGGGGTCTTCAGAGAGCCTGCAAGGTCACATAGGACTGAGATGTGTCAGCACAGAAGGGGTCAGATTTGGTGAGTGGGAAGACTAGCGGCTGATGTGGTATGGTCCTGCATGTTCCTTTAGGCTGCTTTCGGTTCAATAGCTAAACTTCTGTTTATTTCAGTAAAGTGAGCTTCAGGAGTGGATGGCCATTGCTGAAGAAAATTTGTGATTTGGGCTACAGAATTTTGAGAAAGATAGAAAGGTTGCGAAGAAAGACTTTCACCTGTAAAGGTTTTGTACGTTTTCAGAAGTGATTACTTTTCTTCTCTCCTTCCCCCAGATAAAGTTTTTTAACCTCTAGGAAAGTCATTATAGCAAATTGATTCCTTTAAAAACAAAACTAAACAACACCATTCCCCTCTCCCCTCCCATTTTGTAAGTAGGAGTGTCAATATATGCCATATATTTTTTTTTTTCTTTGAAATAAATTTTGCATAGGCAAAGAATAGGGTTGCATAACATAATTTTTTTTATTGTCTAAGTGCATTGTCTCACTGTATGTATGCTCACAGTACTTTGCACATAAAATTATGGGGTTTACATGTTTGTGAGTTGTCTTGCTATTGTTGTTTCATTTTTTTTTTTTTCCTCCAAGAACGTTGTCTAAGCTTCACTGATTGGTTCTGTCTGTTTAGTCAAGTTTGTTATTTTTGGTTTTTTTTCTTGTACCACAGACAATGCTCACATTCCTTTGCTCTTTCTTTGTTATTTTCCCCATCAAGAACTGTGTAATTCTCTCACTTCTCTTCAGATATCTGTAACTTCAAAGCCTTTCCAGGTATGGACACAGCCATTGTTCTCCCTTAGCCGAGTACTTCGTGCTGTTCATGTAATACTGCCACTTAGATGGCTTGGTATTTGATGTGCCTGCTATTTCACCATGCAATTTGCTATTATTTGGATATAAAACTTGTTTGAGCCTAGTTGATTATATATAAACCTGTTCATTAGGCTAAATAGATTTTTTTGGAAGACGGAGACTACCAGTTGGTCTTCCTCTGCAGCCATTGTAGTGGCAAAGTCCTGTTCAATGGCCACAGCTCACCAGTAAGGTCTGTGTGCTGTATGTATTTTTGCATGGATGGATGCATTTTCTTAGCATCCCAATATACTTTTGTCCTTGCAGACACCTAAGGTTTGTTCTGAGATGCAGTGGAAGTAGATGAGCAGACCATGCAATTTAAGCACTCTTTGTTATTTCCCTGTGTTTCAGAATTACTGTTTCCCTGAGCGTTTTGATTAGTGAGGCTGAAAGATGGAGGAGAAATCATTTTCAGGGATTAAAAGAATCCAGAAATTGTTATCAGCAGGGTATTACTTTGTTCTTTGATTGTGATTAGGGGGAAGTATTTTTTTTTTTTTTTTTTTTTTTTAAGATTTAAGAGGTAAAGAAAAAGGGATCTGACTTAAAT